ATGGTGTAGGGGTAGGTTACTGAAAGCAGTAAAAGAGTTTTTACAAAGGAAAGTGGGGTTTAAAAGTTAGAGTTGTGGAAAGGGGAAAATTTTTTTCCCCCGTAAAATTTGGCCTTGGGACAAGGATGTGTGATGTCCCCGGGGTTTGTTTTTTATATTTATAGATGGGGTTGTAAGAGAAGAAAGCGAGGGTTTTGGAAAGAGGCTTTGGATTTTTAAAAGATAAAGTTCAAAAAAAAGTGGGAGTTTTCCCCAGTTGCTCTTTGCTGAGGGACCCCGTGCTCTTGGGAGTTTCCCGGGAAGAAAAGTTGCAGAGTTTGGGGTGGATAAAATTTGGGAAGGGTGTGAAAAGAAAAAAATTAAAGGTGAAACAGGAAAGGAAAGGTTATGAGGATAACAAAAAAAATTGGGTGTTTTAAAAGTTTGAATATCAGATTGGAGGGAGGGGAGTATGGAAAGGAGGTAAAATTTTATTCAGATATTTGGGAGGGGACGGTCAGCGGATGGGTTATGAAAGATGAGGTAAATTCATAGAATTGATGGGGAAAAAAAAAGAGTGAGTGGTGCATTTAAAGGGAGTCTGTGGAGACAAAGAACTTTGTTTGGAGGCAAAAAGGGGAAAGTATGAGGGGGTTTGTTTTACCAAACGCTCTTATATGGGTGGAAGGTGGGTGAAGAATGTTGCAAAGGGGGAGAAGGCTGGGGGCAAATGGAGAGGCCATGTTGGGGGGGCAATGTTTTGGTTGTGAAAATAATGAGAGAATTCGGTTTTGTTTTGGGAAATTGGAGGAGGTGCGGGAATTTCCAAAATGTTGTTTTAGGGGCCCGGGAAGGGTTGTTGAGGGTGGTTCGGAAAATGTAGAGAGAAAGGAGTGAAACAGAATGAAATTCAGAGTGTATCAGTCTGTGTGGAAAAGGGAAGGGGGGGGTAGGGGTTTGGCCCAGGAAAAGGGTTTTTGGGGGGGGGGGGTAAAGGAGGTTTTGTTTTGCGAGGGGCTTGGACTTCCCCGCAGGCATCGTGAGCGGTTTTTTGTAGGAGTGAATGGAGACAAAGGTTTTTAATACTTGAAGTGCGGGTTGGGGTGTGAGCAAAAATTAAAATTTATGAAGGGAAATTGGGGGAAACCCGGCCCGGCCGGGCTTGAGTCCTGGAGATGGGGAAATACGTGCCTGCCCCTCTGAAGGAGGGGGTGTTTTAAAGTTTTCAGTTTTAAAAAAAATAGTGTAAAGCACCCTTCGGCAAGACGTGATTTGGGGGTTTTAAAGTTTGGGGGAAAGTTTTTCTTTTTCGGGCCACCCTGCATTGGGGGGGAATCGGCCGGTGTTTTAAAAAAAAAAAAAAAAAAAAGGGGATGGCTATGGGCATTAAGCTTTAAGGGGTTTTTAATTTAAAAAGTCCACAAAGAATTAAAAAAAAAAAAAAAGGATTGTTATATTGAAAGTTATCGATAAAAATCAAGAGAAAAAGGGGGGGTTTTGCAAATTCTACTTGCCCATACATGAAACCCCCCCTGTGTAGTTTGGTTTGGGAGACAGCATATAATATGGGAAAAAGAGGGGAAAATGTGGGAGATTTTTGCAAAGGGAGTAAGTAGTAAGTTATAAAAAGCAGTTTTTTTTAAAAAGAAAAAGAGGGCTCTGGTAAGCTAAGTAGGAGGAAGGCGACCACTGTCCCGTAAAACTAGACCTTAAAAAATTTAGGGGTTTGATGCCACGATGGTAGTTTAATATATTTATAAATAGGGGGTTTTTAAAAAAATATGGTTTTGTGTGGGGATCTGATTATGGAAATTTAAAAAAGTGAAGAGAGGTTTCAAAAGGGTTTGGAGAGTAGTCAGGAAAAAAAAAGGGGGAAAAAAAAAAAAAAGCAAGGTTAGGGTATTTCAAGAGGGGAATTTTTTAAAAAAAAAAAAAAAAAGGGCAGTTTTCACCTTGTTGTTTAACATATCAAAAAGATGGGGTTATAAAAAATGAATACTTAGGTGTTTGGGAATGAGTGAGATTGAAAAATGATGGAAAAAAGGATGGAGGGAAAGTTTTCCATTTAAATTTTTTTTGCAAGGGTGACGTTGGTTTTTTTGGAGATTCTGAGGAAGTTGCAAAAAAAGGTGAAAGAAATTTTTAAGGTTTGTAAAAAAAAAGGATATTAAAAGTAAATAAAAGTGGACCCCAGTTTACGATAAATTTTTTCATTCCAGAAAATATGTTCGGGCCATTAAATAAAGAAATTTTTTCCCCTAAAGGGAAAATTGTGAATTAGATTAGTCCAAATTTTAGACCCCCCAAAAATTTCATGTTTCAAAAAGCACTTACATAAATTCACTTACATAATTGGTTGCATTGGGAAACTGATCGTAAGCCCGGGGGGCCACTGTATAAGGGAAGTGAAAGGAAAAGGGATCAAAACTTAAAAAGTAAACTACCCGCTGCATCAAAACCTTTTAAAACAAAACCCCCCGATTTTGTTTCAAACATCTATACCAAAAAAAGGGGTAACCCCAAAAAAGTTGTCAACTGTAAGGGTATCTATGACTTTATTCAAAAAAAACTAAACAGGTTAAAAACCCCGCTAAGGCAAACCCGGGCCCCGGTAATTCCCGTCTAAGTTCCCAAAAGTGGTGCTTCTGAACTGTTTAATCCCTATTGCTCACATAATAAAATTTTTTCCCAAACCCCAAAACCCCTTAATTCCGGACCGGGGGGTTCAAAGGGTGCCAGGTTATCCCCTCTTCAAGAAAAATAGTTTGGGCTGTTTTAAGCAACTTTAGGGCCCGGGTTTGTATACCCCGTGTTTAAAATCCCAAAAATTTAGAGAGGGCAGGGGTTCTGTCAAGTAGTTAAGTTCCTTAACGACCCCAAAAATTCTCCATAGTACCAATTAAAGGGTTTTGATTTTTACTCAACCGACATTCCCCAATTAATCTGATGGATTACACGAGGAAAATGAAATGCCAATGGGGAACCCCCATAGGTATGGTTTAAAATTAGACTTGCAAAAGGCCCTTTGGGCACTGTCAACCAAATATATTATGTAAGAAACTTCAAGCTATCAGTATAGGTTCTGTAGACTGGTTTAAGTCCTACCTTCGCAACAGGAGACAAATTGTCAAAATCAACAAAACGGAATCAGAACCCCTGCCGACAGCATGTGGAGTTCCCCCAAGGTAGTATTCTGGGTCCCTTATTATTCCTATGCTATGTTAACGACATGCCTATCAGTGTCAAGTGCAAACTCCTACTGTATGCAGACGACAGTGCTCTGTTAGTGTCAGGTAAAGCCCCACAAGATATAGCTAATGTATTAACCCGTAAACGGTCCAAACGCACATATACGTTTTTTTCAACATTTGAAAGTATGTAAAAAAGTAGATCTTTTTTCTTTTTTTACATTTGAAAATGTGTAAAAAAAACTTTGATCTACTTTTTTTTTTGTTATATTTGAAAATATGTAAAAAAAACATAGATCTACTTTTGGAGCATTACACATGTGAATGTAGATCTGCTTGGACCGTTTACAGGTTAACAATGAGACTGGAGTCCTGCAGCAAATGGTTAGTAGACAACAAACTATCATTACACCTCAGGAAAACTGAAGCCATTCTCTTTGGCAAGAGACAAATTGAGAAGGGTAAATAATTTTAATGTCCAGTGTAATGGGGAGCCCATCACGTCAGTTTCCTCAGTAAGATATCTGGGAATCCCCTTTGACCCTTGCATGTCAGGTGAACTGATAGGGAACAGTGTAGTAAAGAAAGCGAATGCCAGACTGAAATTCCTATATGGACAAGCACAGTATCTACCTACTGAGGCTCGTGGGACCCTGTGTCTAGCCCTTATACAATGTCATATGGACTAACGCTTGCTCTTCATGGTACTGTGCCTTGACAAAAAAACAGACTGCTAATCACCCAGACCAAAATGGTAAGATTCACCCTGGACCTGGATCCAAGAGAGCATGTAGGCCAGGATAAATTACAGCAACTGGATATGTTGAATGTTGAAGACAGAGCAAAACAACTGAAGCTAAATTAAGTTTATAAAATTGCTCACAGTGTCCAGAATATCTTGCTGCCAATTTTGTCAAGGGTGGGAACCAAAGCAATCACAGTACTAGGGGGAGAGAGCACAACTTTGTAGTACCCACAGTTAGTGGCCAGGCTTCAAACACCTTTTATTGTAGAGCAATAGAGGAATGGAACAGATTGCTCACACGTGTCAAAGCCAGTCATAGCATGAACCAGTTCAAGAAGAGCCAAAAGGTGCCTGATGAATGTAGCTACAGAAAGGGAGGGGAATGATTTTTTTTTTTTAATTACTACACGTGTAATTTTACCTTATTCCTAGTAATGACCTTAGTATTGTAGATAGTCTTAATGACCCTCTTGTAGTAGTCTTAATGACCCTTGTGTAGTAGATAGTCTTAACAGTATGATAATAAGATATCTCCTTTATAGAATAATAATAAGATATCACCTTTATATTATAATAATAAGGTAAAAGGACCCTACTGGAAATAAGTCACTCTGACTTTTTTGGGTTATCCCAGGTACTTTACATATATGCTGCTATGTATGATAATCTATGTAACTGTATTTGTGTATACCTGAATAAGGTTACTTACTTAATGGAAGGACAAAAAATGACAATGACCATTTCCCACCAAAGTAAAGCAATCCAAAGAAGGTACCACAGTCACCAGCATTCACTCAATAGCTATCTTGCCAGAAGTGTGCAGCCACCATAATTCAACTGAGCTACTGAACAGGAAAATGTCCACTCATCCTTCGCAGCACAGACTGTACATTCCACCTCCAGAAATCAAATCTGGCTCACATATAAACTGATAAAAATAATTAAGAAATACTTTCATGGGTAGTTAAGTGGATGAATAGTGTTTAAAATACTGCCAAGAGTAACATTTTAATAGATACAGTTAGTTTATGCATGTTCAAATGAAATATTTGTTGTCATGGAGTCAGGTTAAAAGTTATAATTCCAACCTTTTTTAAGGGTTTCACATATAGCAAGTCCTTGTCTTGGAGAAATCGTAAAGTCACATCACTCAATACTGGTGTCCCTTCTTGTTTGAGAGTTTCAGCAGTTGCTTCAGTTTGCCTGCAAGAAATAAAAAATCATGGAATTTTGTAAGTAGATACAAGGAGGGCAAATTCTATCCTCATTATCTCATTTAAGGTAGTCTATAATTACTGTGAAAACAATTATACCTATACAGTGATGGTGCACCACAGATGTGCTTCAGCATCAAGTCTTCCACTACATTTTATTCCTCAAAGTCTACAGAGATCTAAATTCATCTACCATTTTCAGTTTCTCTTCATCCTAGCAAAATTACAGCATAATGAAAATATTTTGCTTCTTCAACTAATAACTCTTGCAAAATGTTCCTGTAAAATATTCTGGAAAAAAAATGCTAAAAAAAAAAAAAAGAGCAAAGCATGGATAATACACACCTACAGAACAGATACAGTAACTTAATTATCAAACGTTTGAGCATCAGTAAAATCCTGTACAACACAGGAAGTTAAACACCGAATAACCAATTATCAGATGATCAATGAACTAATACCTAACCATAACCATCTCTGTCATTCAGTACAAGGAATGGTGGAGGCTGGACTTACTTGATGGAACATTCTTCTACTGCATTCTGCTTTTCATCTGAAGTCTCAGTTACATCATTTTGAATGACAGGACTATTTTTTTGAGGTTTATAACCAAATCTGAAATGGAAAAAAACAAAAAAAAAAACAAAAAACAAAAACAAAACAGGAGCTTATCATTCTGTTATAACCTCCCTGACTTAAAACTAAGGATTTTTCCTTTTATGCTAAATTATATATATCAGTTCATTTATTGCAAGATATTTTCCCTACATCTAATTTCTACCCCCAAATTCTCTACAAATTATTTACCCACACACATTGCTCTTAAAGATGACATCTGATGTCTGTCATGCCTATTAACCCCTAAACGGTCCAAACATATATACATGTATATACGTTCTTACCACTAGCGCCCCAAATAGACAGCAGAGAGTTTGCATAAATGGGGAGAAATCAGAATGGGGGCATGTCACAAGCGGTGTTCCTCAGGGGTCAGTGTTGGGCCCGTTGTTGTTCACAATTTACATAAACGACATAGATGAGGGAATAAATAGCGACATAAGCAAATTTGCTGATGACACCAAAATAGGCCGTCCAATTCATTCTAATGAGGACACTAGAGCACTCCAGGATGATTTGAATAGACTGATGCAATGGTCGGAGAAGTGGCAGATGCAGTTTAATATTGACAAATGCAAAGTTCTAAATGTTGGACAGGTAAATAACCATGCCACATATTAACTAAATTATGTAGATCTTAATACTACTGATTGCAAAAAGGATTTGGGGGTTCTGGTTAGCAGTAATTTACAACCAAGACAACAGTGCATTAGTGTTCGCAATAAAGCTAACAGAATTCTTGGCTTCATATCTAGAAGTATAAATAATAGAAGTCCTCAGGTTGTTCTTCAACTCTATATATCCTTGGTTAGGCCACATTTAGACTATGCTGCTCAGTTCTGGTCACCGTATTACAGAATGGATATAAATGCTCTGGAAAACGTACAGAGGAGGATGACAATGATGATCCCATGTATCAGAAATCTTCCCTATGAGGATAGACTGAGGGTCCTGAATCTGCACTCTCTCGAAAGGCGTAGAATTAGGGGGGATATGATCAAGGTGTATAAATGGAAGACAGGAATAAATAAAGGGGATGTAAATAACGTGCTGAAAATATCTAGCCTAGACAGGACTCGTAGCAATGGTTTTAAGTTGGAAAAATTCAGATTCAGGAGGGATATAGGAAAGCACTGGTTTGGTAATAGAGTTGTGGATGAGCGGAACAAACTCCCGAGTACAGTTATTGAGGCTAAAACGTTGTGTAGTTTTAAAAATAGGTTAGATAAATACATGAGTGGGTGTGGGTGGGTGTGAGTTGGACCTGATTAGCTTGTGCTACTAGGTCAGTTGTCGTGTTCCTTCCTTAAGTGAATATGGCCTGCCCTGACTAGGTTGGGGGCATTGGCTTAAGCCGGTAGGAGACTTGGACCTGCCTCGCATGGGCCAGTAGGCCTGCTGCAGTGTTCCTTCTTTCTTATGTTCTTAAATGTATATACAGTGGACCCTCGTTTATCGTATTTAATCCGTTCCTGGAGGTGCTACTATTATCGAAATCTACGATTTTCGAATCAATTTTCCCCATAAGAAATAATGTAAATACAATTAATCCGTTCCCGACATCCAGAAGTATTAAAACAAAAAATTTTTTTACATGAAATATAGATGTAGTACATAAACAATACAATGGGACATGATGAATGAAACATTAACAGCATAACACTTACCTTTATTGGCGATTCTTCTTAGTGTATGGAAGACTGGAGGAGGAGAGAGACTGGATTATTTACAGTTTGGAAGGGGAATCCCCTTCCATCAACACCTCAGGTACCAATTGCTTTTCTGGGGTTACTTCTCTTCTGTTTCTTAATGCCACTAGAACCAGCTTGAGAGTCACTGGAGTCCTGTCTCGCAAAATAACTGTCCAGAGAGCTCTGTTTCTGGCATCTCTAACACTTCCCTAAAATGGGCCAAGACTTTGTCACTGTACATGTTGCCAACATGGCCGGCAACAACCTTGTCAGGGTGATGTTTCTCCATAAATCTTTCCATCTTACCCCACATTTCAAAAATCTCCTTAATTTCTGAAGAAGGCACCTTCTTCCATCTCTATTCCTCCTCCTCTGCAGCAAGATTCTGAGCTGCAATCTGTTGCTCTTCCTGCTGAAACTCTTGCTCTTTTCATATTGTTCAATGACGTTTTTCTTAAATTCAATCGTATTTCTCACCTTCTTTACCAAAGGCTTGGCACTAGGAGCTTTCTTTGGAGCCATGGTAGCTTATTTAGCACTTGCCAGCACTAAAATGAATGGAACATTATGAAATATTTCGGGAGCAAGTGAGGGGACCGTCGCTCACTGGTAAACAATGCCACACTGGCTGGGAAGGGAGGCCGCCCCGGCTCACAGCGTGCGTATGTGTCCCGGACGAACTACTATTCGCGAGTCAATCTACGATTAGCGAGCCCATGTTTATACGAAAATATCGCTATGATTTCCAAAATCTATGACTGTCGAGCCCTACAATTATCGAGGGACTACTGTATATGTTTTATTTTTCCTGCCTCCAAATTTGGCACGATTGGCCTGAGATGCCAGGCCAGCATAGAATGGGTCTTAACACTCAGTGTGCACCATATTAAAAAAATTTGGGACCACTTAGTACCTTGTGGGAGCGCCAGTTAAATTGAGCGCCAGCTAGAGCAAACAGTGCGGCAAACACCAAGGATTCACTGATGTTGAAGATTGAGACACTTATGCAGCATATGGGAATCTTTATTCAGGAAACGTTTCGCCACACAGTGGCTTCATCAGTCCAATACAAAGAGGAAGGCGTAAGGAGAGGAGGAGAATGAGGTAATCAGTCCCTCAACCTGGAGTCGATGTGTTCAGTCCATCAATCTTGTAGAATGTACAGCATAGGGCCGTAGACGTGGCTTATATACTGTAGTGAGGTGACGTGAAGCAGGTGGAGGCAGGGTCATAGTGGTACCATCCACTAGTCGAAGTAGGTCTTCGTCCAAAGGTTGAACAAGTGTTGAAGAATTCTTTGTAACAAGATCCCATTCATCACAACTGTCAGACACTGCAGCATCATGGGATCTTGTTACAAAGAATTCTTCAACACTTGTTCAACCTTTGGACAAAGACCTACTTCGACTAGTGGATGGTACCACTATGACCCCGCCTCCACCTGCTTCACGTCACCTCACTACAGTATATAAGCCACGTCTACAGCCCTATGCTGTACATTCTACAAGATTGATGGACTGAACACATCGACTCCAGGTTGAGGGACTGATTACCTCATTCTCCTCCTCTCCTTACGCCTTCCTCTTTGTATTGGACTGATGAAGCCACTGTGTGGCGAAACGTTTCCTGAATAAAGATTCCCATATGCTGCATAAGTGTCTCAATCTTCAACATGTCGGTTTTTCAAACCATTCATCACAACTGTCAGACACTGCAGCATCATGGGATCTTGTTACAAAGAATTCTTCAACACTTGTTCAACCTTTGGACGAAGACCTACTTTGACTAGTGGATGGTACCACTATGACCCCGCTTCCACCTGCTTCATGTCACCTCACTACAGTATATAAGCTACGTCTACGGCCCTATGCTGTACATTCTACAAGATTGATGGACTGAACACATCGACTCCAGGTTGAGGGACTGATTACCTCATTCTCCTCCTCTCCTTACGCCTTCCTCTTTGTATTGGACTGATGAAGCCACTGTGTGGCGAAACGTTTCCTGAATAAAGATTCCCATATGCTGCATAAGTGTCTCAATCTTCAACATGTCGGTTTTTCAAACCATTCATCACATTCACTGATGTAATGTCATATTCACACTCCTCTTTTAAGAGGAAAGCAATGTTAATCCCAAGTTTAGGGTCTGTCTCTGTCTCTTATCTCTTTTTATGTCTCACAGGTACACACAAATACAATTATACATAGTGTAAATTACCTAGGATAACCTAAAAAATCTTAAGTGCTATACTGTGCTTGTAGATATAATGCATAAGAATACCTGCTGGTTCACAGTGGCTTTCTCTGAGGACAGAGAGAGAGAGAGAGAGAGAGAGAGAGAGAGAGAGAGAGAGAGAGAGAGAGAAGAGAGAGAGAGACAAGAGAGAGAGACAGAGAGAGAGAGAAGACGAGAGAGAGAGAGAGAGAGAGAGAGAGAGAGAGAAGAAGAGGAGAGAGAGAGAGAGAGATGAGAGAGAGAGAGAGAGAGAGAGAGAGAGAGAGAGAGAGACAGAGAGAGAGAGAGCAGAGAGGAGAGGACAGAGAGAGAGAGAGAGAGAGAGAGAGAGAGAGAGAGAGAAGAGAGAGAGAGAGAGATGAGGAGAGAGAGAGAAGAGAGAGACAGAGAAGAGAGAGAGACAGAGACAGAGAGGAGACAGAGAAGAGGAGAGAGACAGAGAGAGAAGAAGGGGACAGACAGAGAGAGACAGACAGAGAGAGACAGACAGAGAGAGAGAGAGAGACAGGAGAGACAGAGAGAGAGCAGAGAGAGCAGACAGAGAGAAGACAGAGACAGAGAGAGACAGAGGGACAGAGAGGAGAGAGACAGAGGAGAGAAGAGACGAGAGAGACCAAGAGAGAGAGAGAGAGAGACAGTGCAACATACCATCTCTGATCCTACACCTGTCAGCACACTGCCGATACTATTCTAGAATCTGGTAGAAAGTGCTTCGACGCAAGCTCTGAGCCAGGAGTTTCCCCACCAGAGAACGGTGCAGTTAGTGATCAGGGAAACTATCACTCCCACCTAATCACCTGCTGCGCCAAAAGTACGAACAGCAGGGACACATCTGTCGAACTGTAGAGGGCGGGTAGGGTCGTGGAGGAGGACGTGGTGGAGGAAGACATCTACAGCCGTCTCACCCCCCACTAACACAGTTCCAGCGGCAGAACCCGAGGACAAATCTGCGAAACACAGGAGGTACAAACAAATCCTAGTCCACCCCCCCAGGCACCTAGGCTGTTGCTCTCGCTGTCACCGGAAGGGGCACTCTGCCAACATATGCCTGCGAGATACCAGGGTTGT